AACGAGCCCCACAGTGATACCTGTGATTACTACATAACGAGCCCCACAGTGATACCTGTGATAACAAGCCCTCTTCCTGCTCCTCACCTATCAAGTTTTTTTTTTAAAATCTTTTTTCTATTTGTTATTTTTTCCCAGCACTAAATGCCTCCAAACACATACACACACACACACACACAGCTGTGTCTTTTTCCTCCTATTAATCCACTCTATCCTTCCTCTCTAATCACAGCCTAGCAGACTGCTCACGTGCGTGCGTGTGTGTGTGTGTGTGTGTGTGTGTGTGCATATTCTCCATCACCAGCTCCATTTAAATAATTCACTTCACTTGTTTCTCTCTCACAGACGATGGACAGGTGTGTCGGCTTGATTGATTTCTTCTTGCTGCAGGAGAAACTCTCCTCCGTCTCTCTTCTTCTTCTTTTTCTTCTTCTTCTTCTTCTTCTTCTTCTTCTCCTTCTCCTTCTTCTTCTTCTTCTTCTTCTTCCCTGCAGGGGAAAAAGAAACGATTTCTCTCTCCTCGTCCTCGTCTCCTTCGTTCTCCACCTCGCAGCAGCAGCAGACTTTTATAGGTGAATGGAGTGAAAACATGAATCAGACCAAGCATGGAAACAAATCTCCACTCCAGCTGAAGAAACTTATTAAAAACCGCCTGATTGGAGAATCTGGCTCTAAGGCAGCCATTTTGGATCCTGCACACACTGATGAAGTGTTCCTGGAGCGACGCCTGAAACAGATGGAAGCTATCGGTGCGTTCATACACTCTTCATTAACTCGAAAAGTCAGAGTTCTTCCAGAATAGCAGCAGGCCTTTGAGGAGAATTCATTAAAACTCATCAAAACGTCCCCAAACCATCCGTGCCTTCACGAGAACATGGAGAGAAAATAACACAAATCTGTGAGATCTGAATGAACGACATCATCGTTATTTCATCCTTCATGATCCCTCGACTACTGTTGAAAGGATGTTTGACTTACATGAAACCTTGAATGCAATAAAAAGGCTGAGCGAGCCTCCATTGTTCTCCATGAGAGCGTTCAGAAGGCGGTCACGGCCACTCAGGGCGCTTTTCAGAAAGGCGCTGTAGACGTCACCGGTGGAATTTTTAATGTGTGATCATATAGTAAGGTCATTTCATCATCTCACTGATTGGTCCTTTGTGTGTCGGCTCCACCAAATCAAGCAGCGATTCTCTGAACCAAAACCAACAGAGTTTAAATTAACCTTTAACTCGTCTGTTTGGAAGAAAACAAAAACACTGGTGACCTTTGAAAAGAAGTCGTTTATCAAGGAGACTTTAGGAAAGCCATTAACTCTTACTTAGTGTCTTGAAATAATCATTAGGATCCGTGTGAGATGGGTTCAGTCTGTGTTTGTTTCCTCTCTGAGCGATGTGATATTTTTAAATCCTTCTTACAGACGTTCTGCTCGGCTGAACGCTTTAATAGAAACACGCACAACAATGACTAAAGCTTTCCATTCTCCTGGTTTTTATTTTAAAAAGAAGAAGAAGAAGCTGTTTCCACCTCTGAGAGTCAAACGGCTGCAGGCTGCAAACAACTGAAACACGAGAGGAAATGTGCGATAAGAGAGAATGAAGGCGTCCACATGAAATGCAGAACAGGACGTTTGTCTTCGAGAGGCCCAGAAAGAAACAACTTGTACCTTTTTACCCACACACTGTTCTGCCCCCAGGGTCCCCTCTTGCTGAATGCTAATGCTAAGAGGAGCTAATATTAGACACAAGAGTCTGAAAAACAGGAGCAACAAAAAGAAACTCTCATTACACTCATTAAACCTCAGAGAAGTTTTCTTTCACCCGTGGTGAACGTCCTCACATCTGAGATGACATCAGGAGGACTGATACTCTATATTCATGTTCACACATGCAGCTCACAGCAGGAGACTGGGGGAGGGGGGGGGGGTCTCCTGAGGTAAGACGTGATGGAAAAAGAACAGAATCTCAATGTGAACTAAAGAGAGGAGAAGAACATCCTGGAGAACAGGAAACATGCAGCAGCAGGTTGATTAGAGCACGGAGATGGTAGAGGTGACGTGCAGACAGTCTGTGGTCGTGAAGCCATCACATGTGAATAACGGTCACCACCCCCTCCCACTGGCCCCTCCCACTGGCCCCTCCCACTGGCTCCAGGTGAATTCTCCTGATTAGGGTCTTTCTGCAGAATAAATATGAGGAGGCTGGAGGAGAAACTCTGAGTGAAGAGAGAAACATTCAGATGTTTGAGTGATCACATGACGCTCAGAGTGAAAACACTTCAGGAGAACAGTGAAGGTGTGAGAGAACCTAACAGGTACGTTAGCTTATCATGCTAACAGGACCTGCTGCGTAACGACAGGTAGGTTAAGGAGGAAGAAGAGGAGGAGGAGGAGGAAGAGGAAGAGGAGGAGGGGGAAGAGGAGGTGGAGGAGGAAGAGGAGGAGGAGGAAGAGGAGGAGGAAGAGGAGGAGGAGGAAGAGGAGAGATGTTATTTTGTTTGTTTATTCTTTGTTGTTGTTTTAAAAGTTTTAGAAATGAAGATGTTAGAAATGAAAAATGCTGATTGGTGGAAAATGTCTCGCTCTCATCTGATTAGTGAATCATATTTCATCACGCTCACACACGACACCTAGTGGCAGGAAAAGGAAGGCGAGGCGACTTTATTTATGGATCAGTTTAACAAGCCACGCCCCCTGCTGCACGCACACATGGCCAGAGAGAAAACACACAAAGTAACACCAACACACACATCACCATGACAACAGCAATGTAATTATCCTCACCAGGTATGATCCAGATACACGTTCAGTTTATGTTCCTCTCACCTGTTTCATCCCGACAGGTAAGTCTCCTATGTCACTTCCTGTGTCACTTCCTGTGTCATTTCCTGTGTCACTTCCTCTTACAAATAAACTCGTAATGAACTTCCTTCATCATTTCCCTCGAGGAGAACTCGTTCTGTCACTGCAGCACAAAGTTGGAACGAGTTCAAAACTAAAACCTCAATGAAGAGCGTAGAAGAAGAAAGCGCCGACACGCTGCCAGCAGGACTTTAAACACGAGAGTAAGAAAGTTATTTCAGGATAAACTCGCAGAACATACAGACCAATCAGCAGCATCCTCTACGGCGCTCATTCTGACACACGCTGCAGCTCGATCACAACGACGACGTCTCTGCAGGCGGCCGCTCAACACAGACGCTTTAAAAGTGTTTAAATCAGAGAAATACAGGGGGGGATACAGAGGGGGGGGATACAGGGGGAATACAGAGGGGGGATACAGAGGGGGGAATACAGAGGGGGAATACAGAGGGGGGATACGGGGGGGAATACAGAGGGGGGATACAGAGGGGGGAATACAGAGGGGGGAATACAGAGGGGGATACGGGGGGAATACAGAGGGGGGATACAGAGGGGGGGATACAGAGGGGGGATACGGGGGGAATACAGAGGGGGGATACAGAGGGGGGATACAGAGGGGGGATACGGGGGGAATACAGAGGGGGGATACAGGGGGGAATACAGAGGGGGGGATACAGAGGGGGGATACAGGGGGGGATACAGAGGGGGATACAGGGGGGAATACAGAGGGGGGGATACGGGGGGAATACAGAGGGGGATACAGGGGGAATACAGAGGGGGGATACGGGGGGAATACAGAGGGGGGATACAGGGGGAATACAGAGGGGGGATACAGGGGGGGATACAGGGGGGATACAGAGGGGGGGATACAGGGGGGATACAGGGGGGAATACAGAGGGGGGATACAGAGGGGGGATACAGGGGGGATACAGGGGGGAATACAGAGGGGGGGGATACAGGGGGGGAATACAGGGGGGGATACGGGGGGGGTACAGGGGGAATACAGAGGGGGGATACAGGGGGGGAATACAGAGGGGGGGGATACAGGGGGGGGGATATCCATCCCGTGTGTGAGAGTATTTGTGAGAGTGTGTGTGTGTGTGTGTGCACCCCAGGGTGCGTTTGAATTGTCCCTCCTATCTCCTTTCACTATCCACTTCACCTTTAACCCTGGAAGCATTTAAGTGGCGGCCATGATAAGAGCCGTTTGAATTCTCTAAAAGTTAAGGAAAGGTGGGTCAATGCTTCCTTTATAACCTCCTTTAGGATACACTGGACCGTCCTTTACCAAAGGAGATGAGATATGACGTCCCACAATTCCTTGCGGCCGCAACATTTAAAGCGACTCACGCATCCGACCAATCAGGAACATTAACAATGATCGTAAAGTGACTCAGATGATGTTTTATTCAACATGCTGTGCTGCTGTACAATGTATAAAACTATAAATTAAACTATAAACTAAAATTATGTGTAGGTCATATCTTACATAAATGTAGCAATTAATTTCATATTGATGTTGATGTTGATTTCTGATTGGACTGGAAGCTGATGGTTTCACTTTTCTTACTTGTATTCTGGTAGTCTATATTTCTTATATTTCAATCCCAACCTGGTGGTGATCAGGATTATTTCACCAGTAAGAAGCACAGGGGAAAGTTTTTTAGATGATCTTTTGGTAGTCAATTTTCTGAACATTGTAGTTTCAACACGGCAGACCCACGTCATTAACCTCCGCCGGTCCGTCACATTTAATGATGTGGCCTAGTGGAAATGTGGTCGGATTGTCAGAGAAACGAGATCGCCTTTCACTAAGTCCTTTATGAATTCTCCTAACATCTTTCCTTGACCTCATGACCTTTTCCCCGGGGTTAAGGTGAAGAGGATAGTGAAGGAGATAGGAGGGACAATTCCAACGCACCCACACACACACAGTATAAACTCTCAGCGTGTATTGATGGTGGGATTTCCCATGATGCCTTGGGAAACAGCAGTCATTCATCGTTGAGGTTCAGACATGCATGGCTCTGAAGGTTGCTGGTTTTAATCCCGTCCCTGACGCCATGTTGAGTCTTCTCCCTGTGAGGTCATTATTATTGATTTATAGGGTTTGAGTTCTCTTTAATGGATTCAAACAGACTCAAGGTTTAACATTTTAATATCACCCAATCAGAAAATACAGGAAACCACACCAGTGCAAACAGGAAGTAGGAGCTCTGCCACTTCCTTGTTCCATCACATTTTGGTACAAACACATCATCATCATCATCATCATCATCATCATCATCACTTTCATCAAAATGGATGCCCTCGTCTTCTCCATTATTTTTTCTCTAATTCTGCAATCTGAAGGATTCTCAGAGTTGTTGGACTCATCGTGTACTTCGTGTTTGTTTCCCGACCGGACGAGACGGCGAGCGATTACCATAATAATTATCATGATGCTAATTAGCTTCTTCACGTCAACATTAGGGTTATTGCCCTGACCATAATCATAATAATGTTAAGAATGTCATCATCATCACAACAGGCACAGCCAGGTCACCATTGCCAGCACTGCTGCTGCTTCCTCGCCATCTTTGTCGCACACACATCGTAACACACACACACACACACACACACACACACACACACACACACACACACACACACACACACACACACACGCACACAGCACTGGACACACGGTGTATAGAAGCAGGCAGGCCCATTAATTCATTTATGGCTCAATTATTAACACCAAAGCCTAACAGAGGAAGGTTCAGAAGGATCAACACACCAGAAGGTCATCACAAGTCCGGCCCCCAAAGGCTTGACCGGGGTTTTAGAGTGGTCATCCCGATGTTTCCCCGAGGTCTGTCTCGCTTCCTTTGGGCTCCACAGTTCTGGACCGTTTTCTTAAGTCAGAGAACACGGGAACATCCTGTAATATCCTTTACTGTTTTTACCCCTTTGAATCTCTTCAAACATGCCGTAACATCTGTCCAACATCCCGCTCATCAAAATATGTCAAAATGTCCGGAGCCGTGTTCGTTTCCTCAAGCTGGAACCGTCTTTCACCGTCCCTGTGGGGAGTCCACCGCTCGGTGACCGTTACAGGTCTGCAGACTTGAACACAATCTATCGAGCGTCCCGTTGAAAACGCCACATCGTCTGCATACAAAGACAGCCTCAATAAGCCAGACTCGTCTGTGGGCCCCCTTCCTTTACAGACCTCCATGTCCACTCTTCTATTCTCGCTTCTGAGGTTGGAAAAAGTGTTGATTGGAAGCTGAACACTGATTGGCTGGAAAGAAAAAAAACCCTCAAAGTTTGTTGCTTCCATCCAGCAACTGACGCCGTTGTCAAACGGCGTTCATGTTTGTGCTTTGTGAGACCACAGAGATTTGTTGAGGTGTTCTTTCTTTTATCTCCAAGTCAGAAAGGTTGCCATGGTAACTGTAATTTATATAGACCCTGGACTACTTTGGGTTTTCTCAAAGACAAATTCTCTTCACAATTTTAAAACAAGTTCTAATTACAGTCGAGCTTCACAAGGTCAATTTATACAGAGAGCGTCCGTCGAGAACCGTCAGCACACCTGATAGTTCTCTGGTGCAGTGATTCTCAATGTCAGGGTCCCGAGGTCATTTCTGGGGGTCGCCAGAAGGTTGTGGAGAAGAAGAAAAAACCATATTTATAGATTTAAGTTACATATTTTTGACCGGGGGTTCGTTTTTGCATTACAGCGCCTGTATCAGTGAAATAGTTCGTCTTATAGAGCTGTTTGATATTTCTGTTACGAGGTTCACTGCGTGATGGCTGCTGCACGCCGCCACCCCACAGACTGCATGCTGTGTGAGTGACTGCAGTCAGCCCCTAACCCAACTTCTACCCAAAGTAACGTCAAAAAATAGCCTCCAAGAGAATTGCTTATTTAAGCTTTTAAAACCGGGCTCGTGACACAGAGAGGTTGAGAAGCACTGCTCTGTCTGAAGCGTTTAAAGTTTCCACACATGGATAATAATCGTCCAAAGAATGAGAAGTTTGGCCTCAAAGCTCCAATGCGAGACTTTTTGTGTTGAGTCCATGTTTGTTGTGAAATCATCAACACTTTCGTTCGATCGTAATAAATCCTCAAACTGTAACTTTTAAAATGTTTCAGGATCAAAGCATGACAGCGTGGAGATGCTGTGTTATAGCTTTGAAAGTAAAATACAAATTAAATAAATAATCAATTAGTTCAGCATCGTTTTAATCTGATTTAATTTATGGTTTTTACACCTCTTCCTTTGTCCTAAAGCCTGGCTCAGGCTGCAGGATCATCGGGCTGATTTGAGCTCCGATTCCTCCAATCGCAAGGTCGTTCCCGACTCGAGGCACTCTGAACGGATTATCTTATCCAGATTATTTCCGAGTCGTATAACGATCCGATCTTAACGGTTTATATCAAACATGTTTTTAAAATCAGATTTAAAATCTTGAGGATCACGTTATGAAAGTGTCTGGAGCAAGTCGTGTGTGACTACAATGACCACGAGAGACGTGTACAGGTGAGCTGAACACCTGAAACACGTCTGACAGTTTCAATCTGACCTCTGACCTCTGACCTCCAGCTCTCACTGAAGAACAGGCGACACGTGTTGTGTCGTCTCTTCAGACGTTTCTTCACACAAACTTGTATTTTATGTTTTTCTACACAAAGCTTTATAATCACAGATTTAACCTACGGCTCCATTGTTTACGTGAGGTCATGTGAGGTGGTGCGTTCCTCCACCGGGCACTATAAACTTTATGGCGTCCAGTAGTCTGTGATGAGATAGAGATTATAGAACATCTGTTGATGATGATTTTAAACCTCCTGCAGTGTGAGCCGGGCTGAACTGATGTTTTTGATTGTTTTATATTCCTGTTGATGCTGGAACATTTGCATGATGAATGCGTTGAACATTTTCCCGTTAAGGTAATAAAACCTTTGCTCTATACAGCCTTGACTAAATTGTGGAACATCTTGTTTAGTCTTCAAACAGCCGGAGAGCGTTCAAAGTCTGCAGGTTGAAAAAGAAAAGAGAGCACATTAACGCTGCTGCGGTCTGTTTGTGCTTTTATATATTCAAAGAGGTTTTTAAGGGAGGCCAACGAAGCCTCGAATAACACGCTGATACTTTTCAAACTGCCCCCTGAGCTGAAGCAGTTTGGATGTTGTGCAGTGTTAATGAGGGAGAAAAGAGTCCTCTGAGCTCCGAGCACTGTGATCAGAGGACTCTGAGTCCACGTATAGGACTCTGAGTCCACGTATAGGACTCTGAGTCCACGTAGAGGACTCTGAGTCCACGTAGAGGACTCTGAGTACACGTAGAGGACTGAGTCCACGTTTAGGACTCTGACTACACGTAGAGGACTGAGTCCACGTTTAGGACGCTGAGTCCAGGTTTAGGACTGAGTCCACATATAGGACTCTGAGTCCACGTATAGGACTGTGAGTCCACGTAGAGGGCTCTGAGTCCACGTAGAGGCTCTGAGTCCACGTAGAGGGCTCTGAGTCCACGTAGAGGACTCTGGGTCTCGTTTGAGATCTGGAGGGTTAGGATGAAAACAATAACTGAATGTTGGGCCAATCAGAGATGCGTATGACTTTACTGTGTGTCAGTTTGGCTCTAATAAGGTTCTTTAAACTTTAAGCTAGGTGGCAGTGAGACGTCTGTGTCACATTTGAAGCGTAGCATCAAAATGAGCGTCACGCTCCCGGCTGTTTTATCAGGAAGGTTCAGAAAGGTTTGATTGTGCTTTGAACAGAAGTAACCAAACTAACCGTGAGTTACTGCTCGTTCGAGATAAGCTTGTATTGTTTTTGCTGTTAGCTGGCAGCTAACAGTCACTGCTAACTAGTTAGTTAGCAGCGTCTGTAGCAGCAGAAACCAGTTTAACAGCAAACAATGCGTCTGAAACAAAATAGAAAACACATTTTCTTTAAAAGAAAAAGAAATAGAAGAGTAACCAGCTGAAGATCCAGTCAGTCTTTTTTTCATTCCGACTGCATATTTAAGCTAGCAGTGCATTAGCATTAGCTTAGCAGTCAGTTTGCAGTCCCTTCAGTCTAGCTAGTTGGTGAAGCGTTAGCCGAGGGCGGAGTTTTGAGGTTTGCGCAGCCATTGGTAGAATTGCCGCCGGTGAAGGCGATGCCAACGAACATTGCCCTCAACGATCTCCAGCGCCCGCGGCAACGCAGGCCCCGCCCCGACACCACTGGACTGGATGAACTCCTTTAACTGAGGACAGAAAAGACAGGAAAGAGAGTCGACGATGAGGAACAAGAGGAGGGGAGAAGGGGAGTGGGAAGGACAGAAGGAAGAGGGGAAGCAGTTAGAAGAATTTAAAAACCTGTGACAATCAGGAAAGAAAAGACAGAAACGTTCACCCTAAGAGTCTGGGAAGCTAATCACAATATAGCATATGATTAAAAGGAACCAACAACAGGCATGATTGAGGTTTTTGGAGCCTGAAGTCAGTAACTGCTGAATAAACTTCAAATCACAGCTCTCAGAATTGACAGCTAAAACATCCAGCGTGACGGAAATGTTCAAACCAGACCTCAAAGATCTCTTTTAAAAATGTTCGGCATGTGTTTGCAGTGCAGTTCACATCACTGTGAGCTTGATTTTCTGCAGCAGTGAGTGTGGCTGAGGCAGCTGGACCCATTAATAGAATCTCAAAGTGGGAGAAGTTATTTTGGGTGTCCCTGATTTCTGGAAGTAGCAGTCCCTATTGTTTTACTCAGAGATAATGAGAGTCACAGTTTGAAGCCTGCTACAGCTTACATCAGCATGAAGCACTCAACATTTAAGAAATTAGACAGAAAATAAGAATTAAAGGACCAATCAGTACTACTTACTATCTGATCAGACATTAAGGAAACATGCTGAAGTGCTGGCTTCTCTGACAAC